CTGTTTCCACTCGTGCACTCAAGTTCATTACTGTTTGATCAAGTTTGAAAACGTGAGTCCTAGTCTAAAAAAGTTGAGAAATTGGCCTTGTGCAGAAATTTTAATTTCAAAAAGTTGAAATGGTGAGGTTTTTATTCAATCGACTCTGCGCGCCAACTTGCAGACCGGCTGACCATTCTCGCATGAATTTCATTTCCACTCTCTCCTCTCAAATATGAACCATGCAACCTATGAAAATATCTTAAAAGTTATCGCCATGTTCTGAGGAAATTAATAACAAACCCGTCTTGTTGGGTGACGGTCGTTTTGACGTCATCATCCAAACGATTGATTTTTAATGAAATTGATAAACTGTGGCTGCCATAAAATAATGCCACAGGTTTCTCACATTTTGCATTTGAGAGAAACCTAAATAAAATTTTGTTTTACAAATTGCTACACAAGTTTATTTGAGCATCGTTGATGTGTTCATTTGTGATGCTAATAAAAAAGTTTAACCAAAATTTCCATAAACAAATATGTTGAACTGAAAATTATTGTAACACGTGCCAGCAGATCAGCTGAAATCGATAAGTAAAGAACAGATGGGCGAGCAAGTGGCAGGACATGCGAGCCACAACAACCAGCACCATCCTCACCTCGACCAACGACACACAACCACTCCAACCTCAATTAACAAATCTGCAGCAACAAACTTATTCGATCCAATAGAAAATTTTCAAAGCGTCTCAAAACTGCTTGGCTCTACACAGCGACAAATGCAGCACCCACAATTACCACAACAGCCACAACAACATTTATTGTCATCTTCAATATTCTCCAACATACAACAACAACAATCAAATCGTCTGCAAGCACAAGACAACGACACAAATTTTATTACTCTATTATACAACAACTTTTTAAAAACACAACAACAACAACAAAAATATCTGTTACAACAACAAATTTTAGCTCAACAACAACAACAACAGCATCAGCAACACAAAGTGCAACAACAGCAACACTTACTTGCTCCTTCAACCAGCCATCAGCCAACAACAAATGCAAACATGGATGGGAGTGGTGAGGACATGAAATGTAACGTTGATATGCACACCCCTCAATTTTTTCCTCCACATCTCCCTCATCAACATCCTCTCCATCATCTTCTCCTTCTCAACACATTTGCCAACGCAACATTCAAGCTGCACAACTCCGACAAGCATCAACAATTTCTGCAACTTCAACGGCAGATGCTGATGAATCACCAACAACAACGCCAACAACTTCAACAACAACAACAACACGACTCTCATCATTTTCAATTTGTCCACAACAGTGATGCTGATGATGATGATTGCAACGCAACCATTATCAACAACTCAGACGCTGGAGACTTTGATGATATGGACGACAACATGGTGACTAAAACAGAAGTGGATAATGATGAGGATGCTGATGCTGATGAAGAAGTTGATGTCGGTGACGATGATGGTGATAGTTGTTTGACTTGATGATGATGATGATGATGATGGCGTTGAAGTTAATGATGATGATGACGACAATGTTGAAAGTTTCTCAGTGAAATTTCTGCCTGTAAATAATGTTTTGTAAATAATTTGATACAATTTATTGACAGTGTTTCTTGTTATTTCATAATTACTTCACAATTACTTCCGAGTTAAAAAGTATTTGAGAAGTAATTATTTCAACTTACTTTGATGCACTGCAGCACTATTTTTTAATATATAAATAAAATGTTCTTTATAAAGTTTAATGCCATCTCCCATCTAGTAACTGAGAACAATGGACATATGAACACCCTGTATATATGTTTTCAATCATAAACAAATGGGCGAACAGATCTGGTTTACAAATATCATAACATATAAAATATCATAACAGTTTTGTTAGATGCCTGGTTGGCTGGCTAGCTGTCTGGTTGGCTGGCTGGCTGGTTGGTTGGTTGGCCGGCTGGTTGACGTGGCGTTTCTTGCTAGAGAAATAGTTGCGGCCCACAATTCACGACTTCATTTATACTGCTGCTGCCATGCATATTTGCTGAACGTTACATCGCAAAATGATTTCTTTTTTATACGATGAAACTTCAGTCAAATTTATCAATTGTTGTTGTGAATATTCATAAGTAGTTGCATTTCAATACTGAATAAAATCACGTAACAAAATTTTGATGGAGCGCTTTATTTAGTTTGCAGGATAATGCTGAAGACTGAGAGGAATTTGAGCGCACTGCTTGGTGGTGCACGGCAATCGTTTAATTATTCAGTTTTTAAAATCTCTACTCAACAATTTCAGCCATCGCATCTTATACATTGCACTTAATCTTTTTCTTTATTTCCATAACCATTCATTCATTTTCAACTCTTTATTCATTTGTTTACTTGTTAGCCATTCAATTATTAATTAAATTTTTTACATTTTAATAGTAAATTATACCTCAACAAAAAACAATTTTAAAAAATTAATTTCTGCTTAAACAAATAATTTTATCTTCTTA